CTTCAGTTATTTTTAAAGCGGTAATGTAATACAAAAATCGTGCCAAATTTTAGCTATTAATCCTGAGAAAATAACTATAAGTACAAACTGCGACCGGGAAAAAGGGTTCAGTTTCAATAATTTTGGCACAACATTCTAGAACATCTTCGCCAAGTTATGAATAAAAGAATTGCATGGCAATAACGCACAGAATTTATGTAAAGTCTGCATTAAGCTTTAATATGGTCCCATCAAAATGTTATGCTCTAGCGACTACGAGCTTGTTGGATGCATTTGTTGAACACAATGATTGTATATATATGTCAATGTAATAAATGTCAACTCTGGTCGTAAAGACATGTGATAGAGTAAGGATTTTTATTAAAAAGAAGAGAAAAGGTAGATAGGTAACATGCACCGTGAGAGTTTATCTACATTTATGAATAATAAATGGTTATAATTTATCACCAATTTTGACTACTAATATATATATATATGTATATACTAATTTTCTACTTGTATGTAGGTACTGCAAATATTCAAGGTATTCCTATTTTACTAATATTATAAATATTAATGTTTAGATTGATGGATGTTTGATAGAAGGTATCACCAAAATTTGGCATGGGCATATAGCATATTCTGGAACACATAGGCTACTAATTAAGTTTTTTTTTTAAATTACAGTTGCAGTGAGTCGCGGATTACAGCTAATATACGTTTATTTAACTTTCAAATATTCATGTTCAGCAAGTTGAATAGTGAAAAATATTTTATGATCATATTCTGCGGAGGGAAGTTCTCCACGGGATAACTGCCGAGGCAAATTAGTGCCAAAGGACTAATACTAACATTTGCATAATGCACGTAGGGTTAGAGCAATTTGCAACTTGTTAGCAACTAGCTAACCGATAGTTGAACATGGTACGTAGGCATTTAAGAATTTTGAGAACTTGTTATCCAACAAGTTTTGACTAAATTTTAAATTGGTATTAAAATATAAAAGTATGCAACTGTAACTTAAACTTTAATGCTAAAAAGGTAACATAACTATTACCTCTTTTTTGTATTTGCGTGGTTTATGCATCACGTGATGTATGATTTTTGACTTGTAGTAATAACTAGAATTGGTGATTAGGAATACTAGGTTTAGCAAATATGTAAAATATAGTCTACAATATACTATTGTAGACTTATGATTATTTTTATTATTATAAACAATAGTATAGGATATAGTGTAGTAGTAATAGTAGTATGAGCGTCGGTGGCTCAGGGGTCAAGCACTTGACTTGCAATCTGCAGCTCCTGGGTTCGAATCCCGCCATATACCAATGTGTTTTTCGATTTCCGATTTACATATGTACATTTATCCGACGTTCTTACGGCGAAGGAAAACATCGTGATGCAACCTGCATATACCTGAGTAGCAATTCAAATATATATGTGAAGTCAACCAACCCGCACTGGGCCAGCGTGGTTGACTATGACCTAGTCACCCTTAACTTAGGGTAGGCTCCGAGCCCCTCGGTGGGGACGTATAGTGAGCTGATGATGAAACAATAGTAAATTAAACAATTTTCTCACACAACCAAGGTAAAGATATAGCAATTAAAATATATTATATATTAAATAGCAGAACATAAAGTAGGTCAGAATATGTTGGTATAACCAAGAGCAGTTGTTTCACAAAGCAAGACCAACTGATTTCCAGCTATTCGTGTAAGCTGATAAGTACACTAGTCAGAAACTAACTCACTATCACATCCCTCTGGCATCATGTAAAATGTTTCCCACTTTATGTAATAAAAAAATATAAAAGTAAATAAGCCGATTTATTTTAACCTAACCTAGTTTGTTAGCTGTTAATACACTTTTTCTTTCAAGTTCCAAAAACCTTTGCAACGATATTTTCATCATCAAAAAATCATTTTAACAGTGGTAGAGCCCGCTTTAACATCTTCGCACGAATCGGCCCGGCTCGCCCGGTGAAATACCACGACCACACAGAAGACAGGCGTGAAGTGGAAGCAATTCCGCGTTTCGTCTGATGAGTGTGTGTCCCGGAGGCCTAATTTAGTCCTCTTTCCCTTCCCATCCTTTTCTTTATAAGGAAAGGATGGCAAGTGGAACTGGACTTTCCGGATGAGAGGATGCAAGAAAAGGGAAAATATTTTCTTTCTGTGCATCCTCTTCTCCGTCGATTAAAGGTAGGCAACGCATATGCGATTGCGTATGTCTATGGGCAGCGGTCACTTCGCTATTTCAGCGATTTCGGGTGACCACTCGCTCGTTTGCCAACTTATCATATAAAAAATGATTTTTTATTGTTATTGTATATTTTTGTAAATATACATACATAATATGTATGATATTGGATAATATAATTGTTAAATTATTTGAATATCACGATCTACTGTATAAAGAACTAATTATATGTGTCTTAGAGCACGTATCGTGAAATGGAGGAGATTAATAATTTTTGCGATGATTGCATAGAATAGTAATAATAATAGATAATTGCATTGATACAACTTCAACGCTTATTCCTATAAGTAGAGTGATTTGCAAGCAATAGATACCACAAGAGTTTTTCTTAAACTTTTATAATAAAGTATTTTATAAAAGCAGTATTGTTTAGGTTGTGGGAGCGAGTTGCTGCCGTCCGCACGGCTTCGTTGCTGCATAATACATTGCAGTGAATGCGCCGCAGTTTGATCCCTTCCTAGACAAGGTAAGTACGACTGTAAAGTTCTCTTGATGTTACCTCCACTCCACTTCTGTAACAAGTGCGGACATGAAGCGGCGAGGGGCTTTGCAGTTTCAAAGTAAATCGACAAAGTTTCCACGACGTCATCCTTTTGTCTTCTTACGGAATATCGATTGCGCTCAATTATTTATGGCTAATCGTTTCGAGAACTTTTCGAATAAAACGAAGTTGTCGAGACTTTTGCAAAAATTATATTTCAGAATTGAAAGTTGGACTACAATAAGATATAAATACCTATGGAGAGCATTTCTTTTCTCTTATTAAATAGCGGAATATTTTTACAAACAAGTATTTCGTTTATTTAATACATAACTAACGTTTGTTATCATCCATATGTTTTTTTAATCGTTATATGTTCAGTAATATAATAACTCTCTCTCTCTCTGCCTAGCTTTTATCCCCACAAGATGTTGGGGTCAGCTTAGTCAGTAATAAATAACATCATCATCATCAGCTCACTATACGTCCCCACCGAGGGGCTCGGAGCCTACCCTAAGTTAAGGGTGAATAGGCCATAGTCAACCACGCTGGCCAAGTGCGGGTTGGTTGAATTCACACATATCTTTGAATTACCTCTCAGATATGTGCAGGTTGTATCACGATGTTTTCCTTCACCGTAAGAACGTCGGATAAATGTACATATGTAAATCGGAAATCGAAAAACACATTGGTACATGGCGGGATTCGAACCCAGGACCTGCAAATTGCAAGTCAAGTGCTTGACCACTGAGCCACCAACGCTCTCTATAACTAACATATTAAATATATTTCGGAAAGTTAATGTCATTTAAAAGCAGCAAAGTTTCAAGGTGAACCAGTTAACCACGCAGCTACCGCTTCAATAAACGTATCACTGAATAAGATTCCGAAAGTAAAATAATATATTTTTATACCGTATTATAATATACCGCTGATGATACTGCTTTTCCGCATATTAAAATGGAGAGCTGGGACAAGAATAGCGCAACAAAACCAGATTGGCGGCAAGTTGTAGTAACATTAAAGACTGCTTTTTAATTGCAATCTGAAATAAAGCACACAAGAAAGATTAACAACTTATTAGACATTTCTCTTTTGAAAGAAATATTCTAGTTCTAATACCCTTTTTTCCCATTTTTTACGTGTTCTTATATATCATCGTTAGGACCAATATTTTTTTGCAAAAGCGAAACAGTTCCTATACAATGGCGTTAAGTAAAAACTACTATTTGCATTACTTAAAGATATATCGTAAAAAAGAAAATATACGCCGAGTGCTGCATATTTGTAAGCCGATTCTTCCACACAAAGAAAATAAATACCTTTATATTTGTTAGAAGTAGAATCGAAACACTTTTCACACTTCGAGAAGACACTATTGTATCGTATACTGCTAAGTTTAGGAACTAAGTTTTAACACTGTACTGAAGAATATATTATGAAAGTTAAATATATAAATTTTTATATGACCCCGGTCTAGGTTTTATATTAATATACTAAGGTTTTTATATTATTTAAAAGTTAACTGAGAGTGTTTGTGCAATATTGTAGTGATATAGTTAGATATTTAATAAGGAAATATTTTTTTGCTTTATTTAAAAATTTCGAAATAAAGCACAATCCAATATCCAAAGTAGGCTCGCCATGTTGTTAGTGAACAGTAGTTAAATAGAGCTGCAAAACAATGGTGGCACAGGTAAGTGTAGCTTTCACGTGGAAGCAATCTGGCATTTATTAATGCGGATCGGTCGGGTAGTCCGGGACAATGGCTCACGTTTCTTCGGGGCCGCAGTCTACGGCCGCGCACCGCAGACCTTAGGCGAATGACGGGCTGCATTAGCAATTCAGACGATACAGACAAACAAAACATCTACTTTCGTTTTCATGTCTGAACAAGAACAATATCATTTGAAAATAGAACCCACAGCAATGAAAACTTAGTTCGATGGCTGAATGTAACGTAATGCGACAATAGAAATAACAAATAACTGTAATGTTGTCGAAACAGAGTTGTGCAAGCCAGACGTAACCTTCTACATTAATGCAATTTCAGATGGAACTTTTTGGAACAACCTCAATATTGTTTACTATTTTTAAGTAATGGTTTCATGTGAGTTTCATATAACTAGAAAATGACTACCATTTATATTCTCCGACTGAGAGTATATTAAAAATAATACTACTACAGATTTTTAGATATGGATATAGACAAATATAAGAAATCTTGTATCCACTGGCTAATTGTAATACATCAAAGTTATAAAACAAGACTTACTTATAAGAGAGCTTCTTTAAAATGATATGACTCCGAGCCAATATCTGAAACAATAAAAATACAAAGGTAAGTTATGATTGCAGCAAAATTACAAAATATATTGTATATCCGTGTGATATAAATGAAGTTTTCACGACACATTGCCGCGCGAATATAAAACTAAACCAATTACAAGTTTTCCAATATGCCCGGCAAATTATGGCAATGTAAACTCGCTATGGGCCACGGTGTTCTTACACGCTCCTTCAAGTAAAGTTTGAGGCGTGAACTGATTTACAAACGCACACGCCGTTCACGCACCTCGTAAATTACCCAAACACACCTAAAAGAGACATTTTTCACTCAATTCTTTAACATAAATTACCAACTTTTCGCTAATTCTAGTACTGAAATGTGCAATGTTATTTTAGTAGTTTCATGTAATGTGTTGTTTTACATATTTACATCTCTTGTTAAAACGTTACCATCGGTGCAGAAATCTACTACATCGTTGAAGAAATGCATTATTACAAGAATGCACTCAAAATGTGTAAATATTTGTTACTTTAAAAACAAAATAAAATCCCAGTGGATCCCGTGGCTACAAACGAAGTGTTTGCTACGCAATCGGGCGGCGTGGTTACATAATGAACTTTAGCAGTGAAAAACTGCATTTAAAAACTCCATTACCGGGCGGCGTTCTTTACGCCGGGCACAATACGCGCTAACCGACAAAATGAGAGTCGCAGCTAGTTAACGGAATAAAAGGCGTTATTATGAGTGGCGGTGTGCCGGCGCTGCGGACCGGGGCAGGTAAACATTGCTGTTTGCTGTTTCCACTGCTCGCCTGAGCCCTTGCCTATGATTTGTGTCATCCGCCCTAACGGAAAGTTTGCATCGTCTTTTAAAATATTTACCAAAATTATGTAGTCACTATATTTATATTTTCACTATACACAAATTTAGTACCACGTTACCAGTTTTTCAGCACTTCAAGTTTCCCAATTTATGAACAAAATTGCTAATATAGTTAATACTCTCGAATTGAAGGAGACGAAACTTTTGTATTTTTATAAAAACTTTAAACAAGAATTAGTGAAGTTACATAAATGCGCGCTTTCCGAACTCAATAGAAGTGCGGGGCACGTTCTACGTAAAACTCGAGGAAAGTATGACAAAAGCACGTGCGCGCCCGAACCTTGCAAACTTCCCGAAGGACACGGTACCGTTATTTTTAGGGGCGTTTCTGAAAGGCGAGGTGTGTCGTTCTCGTCTCAGGGGAATTTACAACGCTTTAAAGCTGGTAATTTGATGTGAGCCTTTCGAGATTTTTCCATGTCCCTGTGCTGCGGCGGCGACGTGGGCCACGCACGGCTTGGGCGCGGCGAGGGCACGAGCGGCGACGCGCCAGATTAATGTCGTGAGCTTTGCGCCACATTTTAAATGTCACGTTCCATTTTTCCAGGGAGCATGGCCGAGCTCCGGCGTTCACATTTCCGACATCTAATAACTGTTGAGCATATCTTGTTAGGTGTGAAATCGTTTTGCTTCATAATACTAATGCGAATGTTAAGCTTTGAATTTAAATTATTTTGTTCTTATCACTTTTTCCTTCCTTTTACTTTAATTGAATATTAAGTAAAAAATTGTTAAGATGAAAAATACGTAAACTATGTCAGACATGGCAACACAGTCTTGGAAAAACGGCAAAGTCGTAAAAATGGCGCCCACCAATCACCAAATAAGGGCGGCGCGGCACCGGCGAGACGGGTAGTAGTGTCCTTGACTCGCGGCCAAATCACATAAGTTGGCCCATGGGTGCGGAATCTTGACTAATCGATAAACTAGACGTACTGAATGAGGAACCCGAGACATCGATAAGCCGCACCCGAGCCAAAGTCTAATATACAATTACAAGTATCCACATCCTTGAATCTGACACAATGGAAACGGATCACATACAAGCATCACCTTATTGTTTGAAATAATATTTATGACATAGATATAGATAGCAGGTTGGATCTCTTCAGATTTGGAAATTCCATGGAAATTTCTAGGTAATGTTTACTAATATCTTACCAATATCATTCCGAATGTATTAAGTCGCTAAGTCTTCGTTTCTACTTCTAATATCATCAGAGCAAAGCAATAGTAAGCTTATTATGTGTTGTGAAATATTAATAAAATTGCAAGTTTCCTAAACATTATTATAGCTTAACGGCGTGTATTTATGTCTTGTTAAATGTTAATCACAGGATACCCTGTCAAACTTATCAAATATAAATGAATTACCCAGTAATTTAATTCAAAGCTTTTTGTTAGAAATAAATAAAATATAGGCGAACAAGCAAAAACAAATACTTGATTCGGGTCCATACTCGAAGGTTATATCAACTTTGTATTAGGTATTCCAAAATCATTTTACAATAGTTTAAATCAATTCTTCTACAACGCTTTTTTATATACTGATTGTCTGTCATTGTAAAAGATTAGTCAATTTAAAAGTTACGTATCGTAATAAAATATACATAATTTATTTGTATCTATGCCTTGTTGTGGCAGAAGTTCAATGGAAACACGTGTTTACTACCAGGTGACTGACTTTCCTTCGATTGCACAGACATCGTACACACTTATATGGATGATAGTAATTATGCACTCACGCTATGTTGCTGAGTAATAAATTACGTGCCGATATTGCAACATCTTAATTGGTTTTATTTATACAAGGAGCTATACTTTTTATACAAACAACTTATGGTCTGACACCAAAATCTCTGTCTTTCATCTTTTACAAAACAGGTATAACAATATATTTAAAACGGGGATTTTGGTTTCTGAAACCCACGGTTAATAATAGAATCATTGAAAGTAAAAAAGAAAATGAAATTTTAATAGCCTAATGTTTGACTATTTATAGCCTTTTAAAGTTTTATGGTAGGTATAGAAAGTCCAATAAAGTAGAATAGATAGATATGTACTAAGACGTTTTACAAAAGCAGTAAATGTATGCAAGGAAAGATCGATTCACTGCAGTGATAATGAACTCAATCAATGATTCTTGATCGATAAGCGAACAAAGCGCATTAGTGAAGCGCTCACTAAACGTCCACTTCGCCGGTGAGCAAACACGAAGGCGTAATCCGTCTGTTGGCACTTAGCGCGCGCCGCAAGCTCCACGCTCTAATTGCACATCAACTAATCTGTTTGGAAACGCACACATTACCGTTTTAGGCTTTGCCACCTCAAACCATAAAAGGTAACTAGCAGTCTCGTGTCAATCACCTAACAATCTCTAACTGTAACTTCCTAGATTTAAAAAAAAATACACAGAATCTTGTGCAGAGATATTTGATCCGCGACTCCGTGCGCGCAGAATTTAAAAAAACTTAATGAGTATGCGTTCTTCTAGATTATGCTCTACCTGTATGCCAAATTTCATTGAGATCCATACAGCCGCTCTGGAGATACTTTCAAACAAACATTCATCCCAACATTCGCTTTTATAATATTAGTAAGAAGTAAGATTAAGTTGATTTTTATGAGTATTCTTAAATATGAATAATTGACTTGTTCTAGAATTAAACGATAGCAAATCTTGTTAATTTCTGCATTAAGATTGTTTAAGTTGACATTAAAACGCGGTTAAATTTAACATTATAACAAAGAGTCTAACAATGTTGTATTCAAATGTTTTAACAAGAACTTAAGAAGAATAACTATGCCAGCCAAAATTATAGCGCTAATTGCTCTTCAAGTCTTAACTTTATAGTAAGAATTCGCAATTAAAATGTTGTAGGCGACTTTACACTAACTGGAATACGTGCCAAAGTAGCTTGAGACATGCCAATTAATGTCTCCATTAAATTTGGTAACTACATATTGTGTTATAACAAAATTTACTGAATATCTTAGAGATCTCAAAAAGATCGAAAAACATCCATTGTATTTTTTTAATTTTAATTTACTGTAAAAAAAGGAATTTTACTTTAGATAATTTAGTGCATATTAATAATCTGTATTTGTATGCTTTTTCATTTCTAAATTAAATATGTATTGTTAAGAAAGTAAACTAAAAGCAAATTACAAGGGCAAAGTTTCCGTTCGTTATGACGATGAGTAATCTTGTCTACGATATTTTAACAGCGTATTGTGTGCAATGATCCGTACAGACAGACAATGCTACTGTAAATATTTATTGATAGATTTATTTCACAAGCCACTGCGGCCCTTGCTACTTGCTAGGGTAAAATTATCCACTGAGTAATCTGATGAGTCGGTTATTCGTCGCGCTCGATGAATTCTTCAATGTTTTATTCCTATCTTCAAGTATGAGTCATCGTTCTTTGTCAAATCACACACGTACTTCGAATTATTAAGATATTCATAAATCTTCAACATATGTAGAATTTAAAAAAATACAAGCTTTTTTGACGAAACTATCAAATGTATGCTGTGAATGGCTATTATTTTTATTGCTACTTGTCCATTGCATTACACAATTATAGTAACTGTTTTTATGTATTCTATAAATATGTTTAAATCCTTTTTTTTAATTACGACAACTAGTGTCGTCCGCAACTTCGTTCGAGCGGAATTTAAAAAAAAACTTGCTTATGTATTGCCATACAAATTTTATCGAGATCCGTTCAGCCTTCCTGGAGATACCTCCAAAGAAACATCCATCCATCCATCTAATCCACAAAGATGTTTTTAATTTAACTTGTCATTTGGAATTGGAGCATGTAATACATATCCATTGTGAAACTTTGTTAACATGTGCGGACACACGAACAATGAAACAGTTTTATTCTTGCGTTACGTAAATTAAACGGCAAACAAAAGACTAGAAAGTAAATCTAACTGATGTCAAAAATAGCCTTTCAGATCTTATCGAACAAAAGTTTATTATTAGTTGTCTAGTGCTTTAAGCCTTTCAAATTTAGTTTAATTTAAAACATATTAACGAATAGAAAAGGTTTTATTATAATTGATGAAAGTCGTGGAGGAAATATATATAAGATTTCTAGAAGTAGTTCTTTAACAGTGGTAGAGCCCGCTTTAA